GGTCGCGCAGGTGCGTCCCCGAGGCGCGCTGTGCCCGGAGGAAGGACGCTCCCGGCCCGGGGTCACTCCTCTCGCGGCGCTCGGCTCCACGCGCACACGCACACGCACACGCGCACACCCGCCTGGCCACGGCGCCCTGCGTGAGCTCTGGGCGCTGACTTACCGCACGGAGGGCGAGCGCCAGGCCCCGCTGATGCGAAACAGTCGGGTCCCCCGTCTGCGGTTGCGGGATCCCCGCGGAAGGAAGCATCCCCTCACCCCGCGAGAACTCACGCTCCCAGGGGAGCCCTGCAGCCCCGCCCACAGCGCGAACGCACCGCGGGACCCAGGCCCCGCAGAGGTCGGCTTGGTTATGAACAATGGGCTCATCTTTTCCTCATGAAGGCCCAAACCAGCGGCATGTGAGACATTGTGGGGAGGAAACATCCCAGGCACCCATCAAACCTAACAGTTCCTTAAAACGAACAGCGCTTCTGTTCAGCTGGGCAAAAAACAACAGTATAAATGTGTATGTCAATAAATGTTAATGCTTCTCTACAATTTTTATTTCACCTTTATAATCACCGTGGGAGGGGGCTTGTTACATTTTATTATTTCCAGTTTACACAAAAATAGATGCTGAAGCTCCAAGACTTACTCAAGGTCGGTGGAAGCAGGTTCACTGTCCAACAACATCTGGGGCTACCTGTGAGTACAGCACAGCCCTTCATCTGATCGGGGCTGCACTGACGGCGAGGGACATGCTAAGAACTACAGCAACATGTATTGTTGGGGATACGAAAAACCAGGCAAATCAATGAAGTGTTTGCACACTGCCCTAGTGTGGACTGGTGGTCCAGGCACCAGTGCGGGTGGTCCACCTCCCCCCAGCCCCAGCCCAGGAAGATTCCTTCATCTTTCTAGCCTAGTGCAAAATCCTCCCACAGGCACTTTGAAACAATACAAAAAATTATTCCTGGCTAGCCACTGCCTGGGTAAAAAATTTGGAAACTACTCTATGGTCCACATGGATAAATATACACACATATATATGTATAATCTACTCAAAGGAAACGTGTGGTCTTGCAATGAAATAAATGTCACATGTATGATCTGGTATGCATGCATGGAGGCTGTGGCATAAACTCGGGGAGCTGAGCAGAGGAGCACCCCTTTTCACACTCACTGCGAAAGCACACACCCCTGCCCAGGTGAGGTGCGGGAGGGACAAAGCCTGGAAGGCGCGAGAACCGAGGCTGGAAGTCGCTTGGGGGAGGGCCGTAAAGCGCACGTCCAGGGCAACTTCAGACTTCGCGAGGAAGCGCGCTTGTCTGCACCGCAGGCGGTTGTAGGTGTGAGAGCGCGCGGGGGAGTCACGGGGTGCACTCTTTTAGAACACCATGTCTGGATTTGCCCTAAAACATCTCAGCAAGAAATGAAAATAGAGAGAAAAGAGATCAATGAAGTGTGTATAGCAAAACCTTGATAACTGTTAAGTCTAGGTGATGGGTATGTGAGGGAGGGCTTATTGTTTACCCTGCCCACTTAGGTGTACTTTTCATAATAAAAATATTTTTTACAAATAAAACCTCAAC